TTTATTCAACTTTCTCACGTACAGACACTCTGATGTATACCAGTTATTGTATGGTAATGAGGACCACGTCTCATGACTATGTATATTACTGATACATAATGAAAGAGTGACTTAGTTCTCGATGTATTTCTCATTTTGTTGCGAAATATTTAGTGAGAGAGACGAGGAACTCTCTCTCTCTCTCTCTCTCTCTCTCTCTCTCTCTCTCTCTCTCATAACCTCCATAAAGTCACAGCGAGATTACTTACATGGTGTCTGTCTGTCTGTCTGTCTGTCTGTCTGTACTCTAGAGGATGAACCACGTGGGCCAGGTTGTTCATATATGTCATTAATATCCCCTTTAGGTGTGCCAGGGTCTCTCACACCCAAATTACTCTATATGACGCAGCAGTATCTCGGGCGCCGAACAATTATCTTCCAGGGAGGTTTTATTTCCAGATACACTTAATCGTTCTCATTATAAAGTTATTTTGAGAATGGTTACCTGTCTGGTTCCCCTCTTTGTCGTAAGTTAAGATATTTTAGTTAGTATGGTGTAAATGTTCCCGTTTTCACGCCGAAGTTAATGCTCAACTTTGGTTGTTATTAACCTGCCCGTCAGGTGTATGTTAAAAGTTAACGGTCTGGTAATTACAGGAAAATATAGTACAGTGCTGTAATTATCGTAGTGAGGTAATTTCAGTAATCCCTGTAGGTAATGACCTGAAATGATGTAATTCCATGCCAGAAATATTACCTGCGTTTGGGTGTGCATACGTTCGTGTGTGGTCAGCATGCTCTTATTGTAAATGAGTGATCCCGAGTTTGCCTCTGTCTACCCAGCAGTAATTGGGTACCTGGATGTTAATGGATTTGCGGATTGTGTTCCGGGGTAATGGTTAGCTAGTGCAATTGGCGAGTTGTCCGGTCTTCTCGGACTATTCCTTGACAGGGTCATTCAGCTCGTTAACTTAGGGTGTGGGTGTTGTATTGGCAACAGCTTCTCCGCCTTAAACAAATTCACGCCAAGATGGCCCTTGGGCCGGCCATCCTCGAACACGAGGGAAGACAACCATTATTCCCTGTGTATGAATCTCTGTCCTGCGTGGCAGTGAGAGGTGATACCACCCTCACTGTCAAGACCTGCTGAATTACTCAGAATAGGCAAATTGTACTCCAAGCTTTGCCAATAAGTTTGTTAAACATAAATATTCCCAGGTATGTATATGTGCTGGCTGTTAGTATGTAGTGTAGTTACCTATTCACAGCTGGGAGGACCAGGGGCACGCCGGGTACGACCCTTAGAACTGGAGGTAATTGTTGTATCCCCTTGGCCACCGCACCTCTGAAAAACTGTCCTTGAGGACGTCGATATTGCCCCCCCCCCCCATCACACATGCTATATATGTAACCAGGATGGATTCATTCTCAACATTATGTGATTTTTTTACGAATCTTGTCCAGACATATACAAGCAGACTGTCGGGCGCTTCCGCTTGAGCGCTTGACCAAGTGTAGATTTATGATCATATCACCTTTATATTAGACATATTTGTACTATTGGAATGATTCGTTCATTCAGTGTGTCTTGATATATCATGTAAACAATAATAATTCTGTATATTGCCAGTGAGTTTTATGTATAATATGAAGAGTAACGACAGCCATATTGGTTCTCGTCCTCCAGTTGTCAAATTATTAATATACTGAAGACGAAGTGAAATTTAAGAATATATACCTGGTACCTGTGGACCCACTAGTGACTAGAGAATAGGTGCGTCTCGGGAGGTGTGGAAGATCTTTAGGTGTGTCTCAACAGGTGTAGGAGCCACCAGGTGTGTCTCAACAGGTGTGGGATATCATTAGGTGTGTCTCAACAGGTGTAGGAGCCACCAGGTGTGTTATTTTTGTTTTTGTTATCTATTTGCAAACGCATCTTTTTTCCGTCTAGCCTCGGTCACTGTTTGTCTGTCTTTCTCTTTTTTGTCTGTCTACCTGTCTGTCTCACTATTTGTTTATGTTTTACTGTATGTCTACTTGTCTGTGATTCTTTATACCTGACTGTCTTTGTCTGTCTGTCTGTTAACCACATTGCTTCTCTATTTCCCTGTACCTGCATGTTTTTGTTCCTCTATGCCATTTTTTCCATCCACCTCTCTTACTCTTCCTGTTCATGTCTCTTCTCTTTTATCATCATCTCGGTAAACAAGGTGTCGATCCACTTGTCCCCATGGCGATAAATTCATTATTTTTACTGAAACTTAACTCGTGTTATTTCCCCTGACCTTAATCCAGCATACAGTGGCGATTTGTTTGCTATTAATGCCTCGCCAACCATAAACCTACGAGGTCTACGCACCCAAGAGGTAGACACGATGTGTTCTCTCCGTCACAATAGGTGACGGGCGGTCGTGCGTGTACACACTGGCGAAGGCTGTGGCGGCCGGCGATTAGCAGAAGCGATAAGAGGGCTGAGGGTGTGTTTCTGGTGAAGGTGTATAAACGCGGATGATGAGGAGTGAATGACGGTATCCGGTCCGCTGAACCTCCTGTAAGGTACACAATACCCGCCTGATGAGGAGTTGGATCCCTTGTCGAGCTCTGCAAGCGATGCTCAAACAATGTGCTTAACTCCCCACAACCTGTCGGCCAGCACCGTATTCAGCAATCAATAACTGCCACAAACGCACCATCCACCTCTCTATAATCTCTTATTTGTTTGACGAGCTGAACAATAGACACCATCTCTCCTGGGTTTAACGACAGCATTAAAAGTTGTATGAAAAGGAAGCATAATTTTATTACACTGTAACCTGTAATTATCATGCTTAACGAACATTCTTCCTGGCAAACGACTCGGAACACTGGACCTTATGTTTAAATAATTCATATATATATATATATATATATATATATATATATATATATATATATATATATATATATATATATATATATATATATATATATATATATATATATATATATATATATATATATATATATATATATATATATATATATATATATATATATATATATATATATATATATATATATATATATATTATAATAATATAATAATAATAATTTTAGTGCCTGTGTGTGTAGAAAACGTGAATATTTTCCCAAAAGCTTGACTTTATCCATTAATTAAAGGCATTTCTTTCGCGGTGTCCTGGAGTAAGTCATTGACCACTTCCGACTCGGATAACCAAGGTCATAAATTTCACCTTACAGTAAAACAGCAATGGTTGATAACTGAGACGAATACAACTCAACACATCCCATAGTGAACAATGGTGAGCCTCCACTGCTATAGGCTGGCAATGATGGGTGGGTGGGGGCGTTTTTGTTAAACCATCTGGGGAGGCCGGGGGTCGTGTGCCACCCTGCTTTGTGTCTCCCAGGTACTCCCGGACACCTGAGGGGGAGTTTTATATTTTTAGCAGAACAGCTCCCACCACCACCATCATCATCAACATCATCACCATCATCATCATCATTTAGGGAGAAAACCCTCCCTGACGTCATTCTTAAAACTCGACTTAAGGACGACATGAGTTTAGGTCCGCCGGGTCGTGGATAGTTTGTTTACATCGTCACTTGAAATCGTGGTGGTGATGCTTGGAGTGTGGCAGGACGTGGGAGGAAGGGTGATGTGGAGGGGGGGGAGGGGATTATTGGAGGGATATGGAGGGAGTCTCCAAGGTGAGGAAGTCGAGTTTTGAGCCGTGTGGGAAGCTGTGGGACTAGTAAGGAGGTCCGGCGGGGTGTCACAAAACCAGTGAAGCGAAAGAGGTTGACACAAACATGAGAATTTGTGGGAGAGTTTGAGTGGGAGGGAAGAGAGGTACGAGGAGGGATCGTGGAGAGAAATGAGGAAGACAAACAAGGAGTGGGCGTCAACAACGAGGTAAGAGGAAGAGGAGGAGGTACAAGGGGCGGTGTGAGACGGAGAACCAAAAATAAAGCAAGGAATACGTAGACCAGAAGGACTTACTCAACCAGGCACAAGAAAGACGAAAGAAAGCAAATGAAAAGAAGAAGAAACAAAGGAAGGAGGAGGAAGGAGAAGAATGAATAAAGTAGAAAGACGAAGGTAAGACTCAAGAGACAGGCTCAGGACAGTAGCGGCATGAGAGGAATGCAGAATGGCTAGGCGTTTAGACGTCTGCGAACTGAATAAAGGCGCTCAAGCCCTGTGGCCTTCATGCATATGTTGATTGTCTTCATTCACAAAACCCTGAGTTTGTTTACAGTGAGGCTCAGAATCAGGATTTGTCTACAATGAATCCCAGAATCATGAGTTGTCTGCAATGAACCACAAATGAGTTAGAAAGTTTATGAGTCATGGAGTTTATGAGTTAGATAATAATTTATGAGGCAGAGAATTTGAGTTACAAGACCAGCTGCTCTTGAAGACGTTTTGTGAGGAAGAAACAAAAGACTATCGCGAGAAAGAAACGTCAGGTACTACTTATTGTTGTACAGATTTCGTGACCTTGAAAGACAAATACAAATACACATTGACGCCCATGACCTCGCCTACACCCATACCCGCGCCTACATCCACACACCCACACACCCACGCCCAGACACCCACACATTACTTGTTGCTTCATGCTCCCTTGGATAAACGAGGCAGTTTAGACTTCCGGTGCGTAACTATCTCAAGGCTGTTTTGTGACGTTACTTTACCTAAGACGTCATTTTACCCATGATGTCACTTTTGCCCATGATGTCATATTTTACCCACCTGTGTCTATTTGTCTATCTGTCTGTTTGTCGATTTACTTGTTTATCTATTTATCTTTGTTTGGATTTTCCTCTTTTAATTATTAATAGTAGGTACGGTACAGGCAATAAACTCGTACCTGTTCATGTACTCACCTGTTCATGTACTCACCTCTTCATGTACTCACCTGTCATGTACTCACCTGTCATGTACTTACCTGTTCATGTACTCACCTGTCAGTCGCAGCTGTTTACTGACGTGTTGTTGTTGTTTACTTTTCCAGGCAGCTTCACGACAACAAGATCCACACCATTGAACGAGGCGCCTTCCAAGACCTGCGGCAGCTGGAGCGTCTGTAAGTACCCCCTCTCTTGCTCTTCCTGGTCACATGGGTTCCAGTAGGTTCCAGTTTTAATAGGTTCCAATTATAAGGTCCAGTTCTAATAGGTTCCAGTTTTAATAGGATCCAATTCTAGTAAGTTCCAATTCTAGGTTCCAATTCTAATAGGTTCTAGTTCTATTAGGGTCGAATTCTAGTAGTTTCCCCAGTTCTCAGAGGTTCCATTTCTATAGTAGGCTCCAGTCCTCTAAGCTTAAGTTCTAAGGTTCCAACCCTTATAGATCCCACCCTAGTTATAATAGATTTCAGGTCTAAAGATTCCACTCCTATATGCTCTAATACTAATAGATTTCAATAGCGATAGGTTTTTTATAATAGGCACTAGCCGTAATAAGCATCACTCCTAATAGGCACCAATTCTATACATTCCCATTCCTAATAGATTCCAACCTGATCATTGGAACCCATTTTTTAGCCTAGGAATGTATTTGGCCCGTTATTTCTGAGTTCGTTCCCTGCAGTGAGCTTAACAGTAGCTTAGTACAGGCTGGAGAACGTGTTGATTGGCCTGTGGTGCTGTGAGCTAGCTGTTACCCACCCACACACCATACACGGCTTTAGTGTTGACTTTGTTGGTACTGCTGTTAATTATATCGGTACTGCTCTTTGCTCTATTATATTGTTCCATTGGTCTATTGATTACGTGGGTACTATATTATGTATTATTTATGATGTACTACAAGACCATTGAGGTTTAATTCAAGCTGAAACAGTTAATATAGTCAAGATAATAAGGTACAGATTATAGAGATATGAACAAATATTCGTTTCTAAACCTATTTCGAAACTGCACCGAACCCAAACGAGATACTACAGTGCCATATATGAGTCGTCAAGCAATTCTGATGTCTCGTTCCAGCAGTTCCGAGTCTCAGCCAATGTATATAGACTTTTATTATTTGTGAATGTAAACAAATAATATTGAACATGGGTGAATCTTTTTTTGGCGGTTGTAAAGTCTCTTGAAAAGGATACTTCAGGAACGCCTTCTGAGATTAGAATGATCAGAGAAGGTGAAGGATTATCTGGTTTATGGCAAATGTATGATAGTTTACCTGATATGAGGTACAAGGTGATAATTAACAACCAGCTCTTGTCAACATCCACCTAGCTTATCTCCTCCTCCTCCTCCTCTTTCTTTCTTTCTTTCTTTCTTTCTTTCTTTCTTTCTTTCTTTCTTCTTTCTTCATCGCCTCCTTTTTTCTCCTCCTCTTCCTCTTTCTTCTTCTTCTCCTCTTCCTCTTTCTTCTTCTTCTCCTCCTCCTCCTCTTTCTTCACCCCCTCCCCTCCTCCCCCTCTCTCCATCCTCCTCTCCCCATCCTCCACTCCCCTTCACCCCTCCCCTCCTCCCCTCTCCCATCCTCCTCCCACCCTTCACCCCCACCCCTCCACCCACTTCTCCACCTCCCCTTTCTCTTTTTTTTCATATGTCGCCATCGATCGATCGCGACAATATTTTTGACCTAACCCGGACCTGGATCAAGATAGCCTACGATTCCATCAAGTTGATTTAGTCCGGTCTGGCAATTGTCGACGCAGCAAGACGCGATCAACCGATAATGGGGACTTGTTCGGAACCCCGGCAGAAACTGTACATCGTGGCTGTCCAGACTTATAACATAGACGGTTTGATGTGGTTAGATTAGGTTCAATTGGATAAAGTTGAGTTTGGGTTGGGTTTGGTTGGGTTGGGTTGGGCTGGGCTGGGTTGGGTTTGGTTAGGATAGGTTATGTTATATTGAGGAGGGTTAGGATAGGCTGGGATAGGTAAATTTGGATTAGTTTGGGTTGGGTTTAGGTTGAGGCTAGATTAGGTTAGATTAGATTGGGTTAGGTTAGATTGGGTTGGGTTAAATTAGATTGGGTGAAATTAAGTTAAATTGGGTTAGTTTAGTTTAACGTGGGTTAGGATAGGGTTGCTGACACGTACTTGGTGCTGACGTTTAACTATCGCTGACGTCTACCTATCGCTGACGTCTACCCTTTGCTGACGCCTACCTATCGTTGACGTCTACTTAGTGCTTGTACCTACCTGGTGCTGACGCCTACCAGTGCTGCTGACGCCTGCCTGGTGCTGACGCCTACCAGTGCTGCTGACGCCTGCCTGGTGCTGGTGTCATACGCGTATCTGTCAGTTTTTCAGTTTCTCTGCCTTGTTTAGGTTCTGGTTGTATTCTGTTTAGTGTCTATCTGCAGTGAAGTGTTTTAAAGTGCATTAACAGTGTGCAGTTTAGTGGTACACGCACTGAACTGTTTACCTGTTCATATTTTAGAGACGCAGCAACGAGGCCTTTTGTTTCTCGGGGCAGCCCATTGTTGTTTGAGGTGTAATTAAACTGGGACAGGTTGTTTGTGTGACTCAGTACCACCACCTGTAAATATTTGTTCGCTCTACCTCAAGTTGTTTGGTGTGGTGCTTGAGGAGTGTGTGTGTGTGTGTGTGTGTGTGTGTGTGTGTGTGTAGGGGGGAGGATGTATGTTTGTGTGTGTTTTGGGGGGTCAGCAACACCCACGTTCGAGTATGACATTCCAGTGTGTGTTGTGAGGAAGGTGTGTGTGTGGGGGGTGTGGAAGGTGTGTGAGTGTGGGGGTTGTGTGGGGGAGGTATGTGCTTTTAGTGGAGCCATCAACACCCAAGTTCAGGTAACATTGTGTTGTGGTGTCATGGTCGTATAATAGCCACAGGTAAGAACGAAATATCATCAACAGGTGTATCACGCTCTCGTTCCTCTCGTCAGCTGGAGTTGATGTGTGAGAGGTGATGTTCAGGGGAGCGTTCAGTGTACATACGTTCTGTTCAGCGGAGGCAGGCATGAATAGTATGCAAATTAAGAGAGGAATATTTAAACCGTAGTTGAGTAGAATACATTGTGTGACGAACGTGAGGTAGTGACTGTATAGTAAGGTAGGGGGAGGGAGAGGTGGAGTGAAGGGGAGAGGGACGGAAGGATGGACGGAATGAGGGGAGAAAATAGGAGGGAGGATAGTAGCAGGCGGGGAGGGAGGGAAACCGGGATGGAGGGAGAGATAGATGAAGGAATTTCTAATAATCTTCGAGACAAGGTCAAGAGGGTGCATAAACTGACCAGCGGACCCTCCCTCTCGTCCTTCCTCCATCTCATTTATCCTCCACGTCTGAGTACTTCAGTATCCTCCTGTACCAGCACTGGACCCAGGGAAGACCAGTTCGTTATCTATCCGGAGTTTGTACAGTACAGTATAGATATAACCACCAGGTCCTGGCCTACACACTGGTCCTCGACCCTCCTGCCCTCGCTGTTGTTGTCTTGAGCTGCTTTAACTATACCAGGATATTAAACACTGAGTGGATATATAGCATTCGCCTCCCGTCTTAAGCGTTGCTGCTCGCCCCTGGGGCATCCCCAGTCTACCCAGCTGTGTTTGGGTACCGTGCCTGGTTTTACTGTTGGGGAAGTGAAGGCTTACGATTGCAATATCAGCCCCTGTCCCCATGTCTACCGAGAGCAAAGTATTTACTGTGCTTTAACAGCACTGCCCCTAACGGGCCACCAGGCTTATTTACCGATACTTCTTATTCTACCTTCCCTCCATTCCTCCACCCCATGACCCCCTCCTCCATCACCTCACCCCCTTCTTCACTCATTCACCCTTCCTCCACCCCTTTACCTCCCCTTCCACCCCGTTCCAATCGAAAGGTTTCACCTTCCAAGAAGAACTGCGACCAAAGATACATTATACCTGTGTGTACACCCCAGTAATTAAGAGGCGAGTATCAGTATGATCCTCACCTTGACTCGCTGGTGGAGGAGTGCGTCTGTGTGGCTGAGCCAGACTCGCTCCCTCACACCACCAAACTAGGTAGAAATCTGTCAGCGTCTGTGGGTGTGTTTTAAGTCTTATTAAACCTGACCTTTAAGCTGCACCTCTTGACTCACTAAGTTGTTTCTTCTCCTAATTGATTCTCTTGTCTCGCAGCTCATATTGTATTTACGGCCGTCATTTCACCAGTTTCGTTGGGTTGTTGGTCAAGTGGAACCCAGTCCTAATCTAGTCTAACGCTATTCGTAAGATTTGGGGTAATAAGGATTAGGTTACGTTAAAACCGGTGTCCCATTAGGACTGGTTTAAAAATATTAATGATCATATTCAGTTGAATTGATAGAACTGAGGCCCATTGTAACTGGGCTGCAATCCTAATTTTAAGAGTAAGTCTAATTAGGGTCTGTTAGGACTGGGCCCAGATCCATTGGTCAGTTTAGGTCTAATTGAAACCTATTAATAGTGGGGCTTATTTAAACGGTCACCTGAATGGTCACCGACCTATCACAGACGTTTGTTTGCCTCTCTTATCTCTACCTGTGACTCGCCTCCCCCACACCTGCCACAGTAAGTAGACAATATGTACTGTCCTTGGTCTCATTACACCTGGAGAGAAAACCAAGACCATATATAGACTATGACCTTTCTGCAAGTAGTCCTCATCTTTAACACCACAAGCTTAACACATTAGTAGTCGAGCCAGGAGCACTTTACTTACGATAAGAGTATAATGGCTTATTAATGGATGGCTCGGGACAGGTGCCCTTTGAGACCTGCCCTAGAGGTCAGAGTTGACATCTCCGTGACCTGGAGAACAGCGGAGGTTTGACCAGGCTTGAAGGTCGAAGTAATGGAGCGTGACGGGGAGGACGACGAGATCTATGCAGTGTTGCGTCTCCCAGGAGGTCGATGGATACTTGTTTATTGAGGGTGAAAGGTGTATAGAGAAGGTTTGCGGGTGGTGGAGGATAATAAAGTCCCTGTGGGTCGTGCTGTTGAGGGCAGGGTAGTGGAGCAAGACAGTGGAGGTCAGTGACGTTGCGGTGTTGAAAATCGAAATAGGAGATTCTTTCGTCTTCCAGGAGACAGTGGGAGTGTAGTGATGAGAGCGAGATAGTGGAGAAAAACATCGATCTTCTCGTCCCCCAAGAGGC